CCGACCCGGCCCCGCCGACCCGACACATGAAGGCCGCGGGCCGAACCCAGCCTCCCGGCAGGTGCAGGAGACCGTGCAGCGATTGCAGCTCGCAGCTTTTGTGCCAGCCAGCCTGCCTGCGTCCAGACACGCTCCAGCACATTTCCGCGCGATTCGCAACAATGCTGTCAGGGTCCAGTTTCGGGGGACAGGTGCCGCCCCGCGTGGGAAAAAGTCCCCGGGCGCAGACTGAGGCAGCTGAATCATTCCGTCATTGTGTCATTCGATCGTGGCCTTTCGGTTTTTTTTTCGCGAATTCTCGCATTGTTCCGTTTTAATTATGGTGTTATAGACCATAATTTATTCGAAGTCTTATGAAAATGAATAACGTTAAATCCAATTGCTGTGGATGCGAGTCCGTTCGTAATAAGTTCCATTATTGATTTTTCTACGAGTGTTTGAAAATTTGGTGGGACTATCGCTCTACGACTTTGAGATCGGTACAACGTGAAATCTTATTGACCACTATTTCTGTATTAAGCGGCTTCTTACAAAAGTTCCGTGGAGAAAAAACTTTTTTCCTTAAGTATGAAATCAAACCTGAATAATTTTTCTCTGGTAAAATACACGTACACTCTTGTGTTCAAAGAACACCCACAACAGTTCATATCAAACGGTGAGCTTTATGATACAAACATGATAATTACAATGCATGTCTTAAAGTTTCACTTAATATTCTACCTCATGAGCATCTAAACCACTTTTACATGTACTTATCAAGCGTAATGCTTATTTTAGGTAATAACAGAAAATTGAGGAGATAAATACCTGAGTATCATTAAGGCTCTCCAGAGCTTGCATTACGCTCTGCTCTGGTCTCTGCGCCTGTAACAAAAAATATGTATTTTAGTATACGTGCAGATTAACAACAGTTTTAGATATAACTACTAATGAAACTCTACAAACACGGAGTTAACGTATGGATGCAAAATTAAAAGAAACTTGTGAACACAAGATTTTGACAACAATGAAAGCATACAATGATTTTTTTTTTTTTTTTTTTTGCAAAAAGTAAGCGCAACAGAGTGGCATCCTATCCTATTCAATAAGAAAAGAAATATTACAGTAGAGATTCGTCAGACATGCTTGAGTTGTATACACGATATTCAATGTATTCATCTCTCAAGCATTTGCAAAATGTATTGCTACAGAACATGCGAAACCAAACATTTATTTTTTAAAGGATACACTTTTCTTTTACGTCAATCCCCTCAAAATATCCTTAACGGTTTCAAACCAAGGAACTGGTACAATTTTTTGCTTGGCAGTTTTTGTCGGGCGAGCTGCTTCTTCATTTAACAGGCCTCCGCAGCTGCGCCGCCTGCGGAAGTCCAAATAATAAGCAGCCGTTTAACGCACGACACAGCTGAACGGGCCCCTGCTGCGGCGCGGCTCAGGGGGCCGATGCACACCACAGCTACGAACTTAAAATGGCGGAGAACTGGCATCCCTGTTCTTGAAATGAGATTCCCTAACAGCAAGTACGAGAAGGCCGAGAGAATACTGGAAATGCTCTACAGTAATGATCATTTTCATATTATTCATACATAATTTTGAGCTAGAGATCTAGATCATAGAAATCAATGAGTAAAAATGGTTATCCAATCAGTCGCTACTATCTTTATTCTAAAGTTTCATAATCTCTCAGAGCGCATTAGAATTGTAAGAAAGATAATACAAATGTTTTTGTACATGAAACTATATTGATATTAAGAACATAAGATGAAAGTGAAATTAACTCCGTAGAATACGACAGTAGACGTACGCCCTATAGCAATATACGTAGGCATTTAACTGATAAAAAAACAAATCGAAAGCTCTGGCCCTGCAGTTGAACTTCCGATCCGAATCGAAACCGTACGCTTCCAGCAGTGGCTCTTCTCACACCGACGTGACAGATCTCACCTGACAAAGCCAAGATTTACGATCTCCTTCCCGGCTGTCGATCTAAGAGCGAACAATGCTCACTGGAGTGGACGTTCGGAAAGGAGGGCCCGTTAGATTACGTATTTCCACAAGGGGAAGGAGGAGGAGGCGCAGGAAAACTTTCGAAAACGAACCCAGTTAACGGTCAACCAGAACGGTATAACGGATGACGGAGAAAACGTTTCACCGGCGGAGGCGGAGGCAGCGGGATCGACGGAGGCATGAGGGCGGGCGCAGAGAGCGCAGCACGCGGACGAGATGAAGTGAAGATGGCGCCCGCGATTGTACAAGGAAAGAGGCGAACGGCACAGTCGCGATCAGGAAGAGGTCGCGCTATTTGGCGGTACCCACAAAAATAAATATATAAATAAATGGAGATGATGCGGAAGGAGAGAAAGCAGGAAGAAGCTAGCGAATTTATCGGATGTGTGTGTGTGTGTGTGGGGGGTGGAATGAAATCAAGAAAGAAAGAATTCAAAAAGTCGAATTCGAAACTAGGCCCAACTACAAGGTGAAAATTAATCCTGAGATATGGAAGATTTGAGAAGAATGTTTTGAGAAATTCAGTCCAGCAAAGGGCGAGGGAGGAGGTTGTTGTATAGAAGAATTACTCTAAGAAGGGACCACTTCCACAGGTCGGGAAAAAAACGAACGTCATGAAGAGTTATGACATTGCAAGAGATAGTGTTGAAGACATTAACAAATGAGCTACCCCTAAACGATCGCACTAACAAAATTAGTGCATGGACATAACTTGCATGTGTAAGCAGTGGCTACAAAACAGTGGTCTCTTCTTTTAGTAATCTCTCATTATTAGTAAGCCGCAGGGGTTGTAGCGTGACCAGACGAGAGAACGAAGGAAAACGAAGCGAGGAGAGAAAAGGCAATACCGGCAGGGGAGAGAGATGGGATATGAAAGTAGACAGCAC